GCCAAGCTTAAAACGAAAGTTGGAAATATCTGATGCATCTTTTGCTTCAAAAATGAAAAATGTGTTGTATTGGAAAAAAAAATAAGTGTTTAGTTTTGAGGTAGTTCTGCGAGAACAGAAAAATAAGTCTATTTTGTATTAAGTTTTGATGTAATTTTGCAGAACAGAAATAAAATTTAGTTTTGATCTTTCTATTATAATTGTTCCTCTTTTCTTTTTTTTATTGTTAATAAAGTTTCTGTTCTAGTTGAAATCCATGGTAAGTTACAAAAGCCCAATGCCCAAGTAAGGGTGTGGAGAGGCTAGAATGAGGAGGTTGAGTGAGGAGGTTATTTGAGGAGGTGAAATCTCACCATCAACAACTAAAAACAAAGTACATGGGGGGTGCATTGGGGGGTCCACACCCCTTTTGATGGTGAGATGGGCCTCCTCAAATAGCCTCCTCACTATAAACCCTCATTATAGAAGCTCCCGTAAGGGTGATTTAAGCAGGCTTGTTAGAGAATTGGGGTGGGCTTTCAATTGATCAGAACCTTGAGGTTGGTATTTTGTTGATGGAAAACAGAACCTTGAGGTTTAGAATGGGGGCAAGGGGTTAGATTTCTTCTGGTCCAAGTCCAAAATCCATGGCTGAAAGGGGTGTTGCTACAGGGTTTAGGGTGTGGTGGTCAAATGTCTGGGTCTCTAAGCAACTCTCTTTGAAGGAATATGCCCAATGTTTGGTATAGACTACAGATTGAGCTCACCCAGCTTGAGGCTGGACTGAAGTTCTACACCAAATCAATTGTATTGGGCTAGCTAATCCAAATTCCATACGAATCAAACTTTTCAGTCGCCGTTTTTTGTGTCTATTTTTCTTCACTTGGCAAAAGATGGTAAATGTCAAGAAAAGCATGTAAGTCTAGGTCAGCTTGTCTGTTTTCTGAAGTGATTTAGCTTGTGGAAATTAATTTAATATATCCTCTGAAAAAGATGTGAATATGACAATGGAATGTCATATATTCCCCAATTTTACATATGCTTTCAAGATCAAATATGTTTTCTTTTCTCATCCATCATCTGCACCGTCTCTACTTAAAACAAAATTTAACATCACGATCATCATCTGCTCATCTCTTGACTACCCCTAATTCATTGATTTTTTTTTCTTTTGTCAACTAAATTATTAACTCCTGTGTTCGAATCCCCCCTCAATATCGCTTGTATAAAAAGAATCATTGAGTGAGTTCGAGTTGCTACATCGACATGAGGTGATGGTGATGATGCACCATGCATGCATGCATGCTGTCCAATCCTTCTTGGGAACTCGATAGAAAAGCGGGAAGCTTTGTAAAGTATTCAAATTGTACATAAAGTAGGGTCCCACAAATTCACCTTCAAAGGAATATATTCATTTTAAAGAATAATTCTCTATAGATCACATAAAGATGCTTGAAATTCAAGCAAACATGCCCTTAACACTAAGCCAACCCACTTTCCCACTGGGTTTCGGCTTTGAAGTTTCCATTATTACCAACTAAAAGTTAAATCCCAACTTTGCTTGATTATAATTATAAAAGGTCCAGCCAATTTTGTGCCAATTGTCTAAAAGAAGCATCTCCAATTCTAAATGCAAAGCTTTGTTTCCTCACACATTTGGATAGGAGTCTAGGAGAGGTGCCAAATTATAAAGCATTTTCGTTTACATGCAAAGGGTGGTGGGGGAGAGTCAAAATATAGGAAAGAACCCCCAAAAATAAATCTATGCTGCAATGTTTGATTTCCTACCTGGCTTGCATGCATAGGTTTTGATTTGAACAATTTGGTAGGACCTGGTCAACATCTTTTACTCAGTGGGACCAAATCATATATATACAACAGGGTGGGACGGTCGTAAATTGTTCTGTATATATCTTAAAATAATGAGCTTTGTGTAACTCATGGTGTTCTAGATTTTTGGGAGAAGAATCTTCCTTTGATTGTCAAAGAAGAAAGCATTGATTCCCAACTGAGATTGGGGCAAATACTAAATCGTAGGAATTTCTTTTTTTACAACAAAAGTAAATTGTATATATTACTTATGTAGAGTGATATATATGTACGATTATACAAGAGATTGCTTCTTTTTTCGTTTCTTAACAACTCTCGTCTATGAAATTTGAATTCTAAATCTCTAACTGACATTTATTTTTCCTTTTAATTCTCTTGGGTCCAAGGCTCAAGTTGTTGTTATACTCATTCTAATTTTACATCCTTTAGTAGAGTGTGAGTGGGGCCTTGAGGCAACTTATTGGGTTGACCTTACTTGAGTTGTTTTGTTTGTTGTGATTTGGATTGGAGAAGAAATGCATGGCAGAGCAGTCTTCATCTTCAATTCCAGGAAAGTGAGATAAGGGATTGAGGCCCAGCAGCAAAGCTTTAGAAGGAGTAAGGCTAAGGTCCCCTACCCTCCTGTCATCAAAAGCTCCACATTACAATACTCTTTTATGCATTGATGTTCACGTCCTCATATATTACCAACCACAGACCCCTAAAGTTCTTGGTTCCATATTTTGTTGTTTTTTAGTGCTTTCTCTTCCACGATAGAAAATCGCATTCATATTGTTAATCTTTAATTTTATTAAATCATATAATGAGGTCTAATTAGAATTGAATGATATAGAAACAAAGTTCTTGCAATCATATGCCTCAAAAGCTTGATACAATGATCTCTACACCATTCAAGTAATGACAGATTCAGAATCTTCCAAAAAGACAGAGGCTAATTGAAATTGTAATCTTATATTTAATTGAAAAAAACCTACTTCTAATTAAGCACTCATTGAATGAAATCTAGGAGCAAGAAAAAAGTGTAAAAAAAACTAGAAAAATAATACAAACATATGACAATGGCAATGATCATTAGTCCCTTCATCAGAAATTTTGCTGTCATTGAAACCTTTTTGTTGGTAATGACATAAAGGATACATTAATCTTTGTGTTCTAAACCCCATGCTTGATAGGTTACTGGTTCAAAGGATGTGTGGCCAGGTTTCTATATATATATATATATATGTGTGTGTGTGTGTGTGTGCGCGCGCGCTTAGATATATAATTATTGACTGGGAGGGCAACATGCAGGGTTTATATGTATATACATGGTTCAGAAAAAAGAAGGGTAAAGGTACAACATCCTGTCCATCATCATTGCCATGAGGGGTCTCACTCATATCTTAATGCGAAAAATAAAGCTTCACATGCTAACAGAATATATAAAACCACAAAGATCTCTTCTTTTGGAGATATAACAAAAGATACACATACCACTCTCAGAAAAACCACTCAAATTAATACACTCTAATTCACATTATACTATGATCATTCCGGCATAAGTATATTTTGCGTAGATTTACTGGAGAGAGAGAGAGAGAGAGAGAGAGAGAGAGAGAGAGAGAGAGAGAGAAAGTATCTTTTGGCAAAGGAAGGCCAGCACATTGTAGAATAGGTGTGCTTTAATTTTCTTTGTTCTTTTTTTATATTATTATTTTTTCTTTTATACTACAAGGTTAGCTTGTCCCCCTTGCTTTCTTTCTAGTACTTGAGAGAAACCAAAGGCAGCCCACCTTCTCTTCTTCAAAAACGCACCCTATTCTTCCCTATTTGCATCGCATTTGTTCTTGAATCTCTCGGTATTCCCAGAGCCCCCAGCTCTGAGAGAGAAAGAAAGAAAGAGAGAGAGAAAAAAAAAGGAAAAAAAAGAGAATAATGTTCCAACACCCACACCAACACCACAAGAAGCCATCAACTATGAATTCTCATGACAGACCCATGTGTGTCCAAGGGGACTCTGGTCTTGTCCTCACCACTGACCCTAAGCCCCGCCTCCGATGGACCGTCGAGCTCCATGAACGTTTTGTTGATGCTGTCACTCAGCTTGGAGGACCAGACAGTATTACTTTATAACCTTCACCTTCAATTTCTTGTTTTCATGCATCCAAATTCATTAATTATGTTACATCTGCTCATTTCTTCTCTTATTTTTTCAGAGGCCACACCCAAGACTATCATGAGGGTTATGGGTGTGAAGGGTCTTACACTTTACCACCTCAAGAGCCACCTCCAGGTTAATTTGCTTACACACAATTTTTTTTTTCTTCTTTTTCTTTGCTTAACTTTTACAACATTCCAATTTTCGGTTTGCCTTGACGATATTTCTTTTTCTCTCTTTTCATTAAATTCTTTTGTTTCCCTACCTGAATAGAAATTTAGGCTCGGAAAGCAACCTCACAAGGAATTCAATGATCACTCGCTTAAGGATCATGGTATGAGACGCATGACAATTCTTTCTAGGGTTCTTTACAAACTATAAGCTCTTGAATTTGGACTGCGCCTTCATTCCATAAGTCTTTTTTGGAATATCTGATCTCTGTTTATTAATTTTCATAGCAGCATCTCCACTGGATATTCACCGAAATAGTGCATCTTCTTCTGCCATGATCGGCCGCAGTATGAATGAGTATGTATTCGGTCTTTCTTCTTCTTTTCCAAGAAAAAAATGATTTCTAAATCTTTCTAGGAATTTATCCATCCAACCAAGAAGTTGTTTGTGTTTCTTTTTTTATCTCTTTTTAACGAAAAAAATTGCCTAAGTATTTCCTTTCATGCTTGGTTGGGGCTGGGGGATTCGAATTTTCTTGTGGAATGTATGTGAAAAACTGCATATAACAGTATTAATTGCCGCATGGTTGATGCAATTAGGATGCAAATGGAGGTGCAGAGAAGACTGCATGAACAATTGGAGGTAACTAAACACACATGCAAAAAAATTATTAAAGTACCTCTTCTTTAAATGATGATAAAAGAAAGGTTTTATTTATTTATTTCATGTATGATCTTGTGATCTTGATTTAATTAATATATAACAGGTCCAGAAACACCTGCAGTTGAGAATTGAGGCTCAGGGAAAGTACATGCAAAGCATATTAGAAAAGGCCTATCAAACCCTTGCTGGTGAGAACAACATGGCAGCTGCAGCGGGAAGCTACAAGGGTAACATTGGAAATCAAGGTGTCAATCCTGCTGACATGGGAGCTCTGAAAGATTTCAACTCTCCTCTCAATTTTCCATCATTTCAAGACCTTAACATATATGGAGGAGACCACCTTGATCTTCAACAGAACTTGGACAGGCCACCTCTTGATCACAGTTTCATGCCAAGCAATGACAATAGCATTTGCTTGGGACCCAAGAAGAGGCCTAGTCCTTATAGTGGTAGTGGCAAGAGCCCTTTGATTTGGTCTGATGATCTCCGGCTTCAAGATTTGGGAACAGCTGCATCATGTCTTGGACCTCAGGATGATCCCTTCAAAACGTCAGATTCAATTCAGATTGCACCACCGTCCATTGAGAGAGGCTCGGAGATGGATTCCATTTCAGACATCTACGAATCCAAGCCAATGATCCAAGGAGAAGACAAGAAGTTTGACTCGGCAAATAAACTCGAAAGGCCTTCACCACGGCGAACACCACTAGGCTCGGATAGGATGAACCCCATGATCAACACCGGTGTTCGACAAGGAAGAAATTCACCATTTGGGTGAGCTAAATATTAATTGATATTAAGATTTGAAGAATGAGATCGATCTAGGGTTTTGATCATGATCATGAAGGTTTTTTTTTTTTGGTCCTTTTTTTTTTTTGGTCTTGTCAGAGTGGTCACGAAGGTGAGTAGGTCACATTAGGGTTCTACTAAAGTAAAGTATGATAAAATGCCATGCATGGCAAACCTTTAAAGTTACATTGTTAATTTTATCAGTACATTTGTAACTTAGTGTGATATCCTTGTAACTCCTTGATACTTGATTTCCAGATTTCCATGGATGTCATGGAAAATTGATCTAGACATGAATAAAACTATGACTAGCAAGGTGCAATATCCCACAATGTTGTCTCACTAATATCACTATCTCCTGTTTAATTAGATGATGCAACCTGAAGAGTTCTCTTTCTTTATTAAGATATCTGATTGAAAAAGCAAAGTACAGGCAAACAAAATTTAATTTTCCATTATTTAATTCAGATATTGTTCCTTACTTGCAAGTCATATAATTAACTTCCTGCTTTTCAACTTTGATATATATCATGTCTCCCATAGGAGCAAAACTTTCATGACATGTTTCATACACCTTTCTATCTATCTGATGAGAGAGATAAAGAGAAATGTCTATAAAACATGGGATAGACAAGTTCTTTTGCTCCCGTAGGTATTAATTTAGACATTTTCGTTATAATGTAGGTCATTTAACAGTTGATGGGTGGTTTTCATAAGGGTTAAGAGGCGAGGACATGCACGTCTTGGAGGAATTTTGTTAAGTTTATTCTAGATCATGCAGCAGGAAGCATTCTACTAGCAGTCCTGTCCTGCTGCTTTCTAAGTTAGTTGGTCCAAGTTAGTTATTGCAGACAAAGCCATTGGGATAATTAAAGAAAAATTAACAAACTATAAACCCCAATAAAGCAAAAGATCGTATGAGTATGAGCTAGCTAGGAAGGAACACATGCATAGATCACAGTAAAGAAAGAAACAATAGATTAATAAATAACTAGGATATAGATCGGAACAAGGGTTTATTTGAGACAAGCGAGCTCCTTTTTAAAGATGAGAAAGAATTTTCTACAATAGAAGCCGACCAATAGTATCTATCTTTCAATGCTCTTTTTTCACTCTTTACTACTTCACATTCCTTGGGTGTCATACAAGGACGACAACAAGTGTACCTTTCATCTTTTTTCCTTTGTTTTTTACTCAACGAAGATATATGCATGACCTCATCCTCTTATAAAAAGTAATTAATGTGTTTAACACGATAACTAAATAATTAGGTGAGATAATGAAATGACAACAACAAATTAAGACCCAAGTGATGAAATCGTTTGAGGATTTAAGAGACTAATTAGAATTTAGATCCATGCAGAGTGAGAGAGGGTTTCTCTTTGGTGTGGAAAAAGAAAGTGGTGCCACCATAGCTTTATTGGTTGCAGAGAAAATTTAGCCACTGCAAGTTGGCAGGAAAGCTCCCCCTCTGATCTCCACATAGACACAACTCAAGAGAGAGATAGAGAGAGAAAGAGACTAAGAGAAGAGAGAGAGAGAAGAGGAAAAGATGATAAAGCCTAAAAGCAAGGAAGAATACAACGCACTCCCACGCGTGCAGATTTCGAGGAAGCTTCTATCTTTATGTGGGCAAAGTTAAAGCTAGCTAGGGATACTCCTTATTGCATTAAAAGCTGCTGCTGATGATGATGCATGGCTATATATATATATATATGTGTATAGCTAGATTGGTTAATTTATTTTTATTTAAAAAATAATAATATTACCTCAGTTTGCATGCAATATTGTTATTTGGGTTCTCTTGCTATAGATTTATATGCACAGAATCATGATCAGCACATGATTATGGTAATGATATGGTGTTCAAGGCACATCCTTCCATGCAAATGCAAATCATTTGCAGTACTTTGGATTCTGTTACCTCATTTGACAACTTTGGGTCCAGTAAAGAATTTCCTGCTTCTTACAAAGTATCCTCCAGAAGCTTCTTTTGTCCTCCCCACGCCCCCACACCCTTACTCTCTCTCTCTCTCTCTCTCTCTCTCTCTCTCTCTCTCGTACACATATTTTGACCCCTATAAACTAGCTCATGGAACTGGCTGTCTTTGTTTTCACCCCCCACCAAAAGAGAGAGAAATAAAAGAGCAACGAGAAGAAGCCATCAACATTTCTTCCATGCAATATATCATCTCAATACTAATATATATACATAAAATCTCCTATCCGGACATCCGGACGTTATTATCATGCGGATACCATGTATTTTCTACTATCCCTCTTCACTTTCCTTCTTATTTACAGTTGCATCCACATAATAATAACGTACAGACATCCAAACGAGAGAATAAAGAGATACCTTAAATATATATTGTATTGATGTTAAAGAAAGGGAACAAGGAGACAAAGAGACACCTTAAATTAAGCTAGTATATAGTGATGTCCACCTACAATCCCTAGTCCCAGATTCAACTTTGATATAAACCCTATTCATTTGGTTTTTGATCATATATATGGGACTGGAACAACACTTAAAGAGTAAATAATCGAAAGAATGTAGTTTGTCTGATATTCATATTGGCTATAACGACTAAAAAAATAAATTCTGCTTCATTTTTTTTTTTTGGATCTGTGTTAAGCTAGATTACATATACGCACTTTATGATGATTAACATCATACATTTCTGATATTATTATGTGATATGATGGTGCCTTTGTTAAATATGTTATTCATGTTTACTTTTTTTTTTTGCTTAATTTTGTTAAAAACTTTGTTTACATTAAATTTATTCGTATGAACAGAAGCTCCCTTATCATCAAAAGAAAAAAAGAGAGCTCCTTTTTAGCTATTCTGGAAACAAAGCTTCTCAGTTGTATGTATGGGCCTGTGAGAACATGGACATGGTGGGTTTCATAAGTGGGCCTATTTTAAGGGAGTGAAACTCTCTTTTCCACTTTTCTTTTCTCAGTTGTTCGTTCAGGTCAAGGTATGGGCCCAAGTGTCCAAAGGTAAGAAACCCCAAGTACAATTTACTCGGGCCAACGCTATAAAATAAGGGCAAACTAGACATCTGCCACCTAAGATGATAAAGAAACGAGGGTTTTTAGGTCTAATGGTCCCTAAATTTTGACATGATTCCCATTTTGGTCTCTCAATTTCCAAAATTGTTCCCGTGGTCCTTCATCTTCACTTTAGTTAGGACAAATGGTCTTGCTATCAATTTTGTTATATTTTCTGTTAAATGCAAGGGCAAAATGGTATTTTTATAGTAATTTCATGTTAATTTCCCAAAATTGAAAATTTGGAGAACGCTAAATGATTATATTATTAGTCACATCTCCTACAATAATCTCTATTTATAAAAGATGTTATTAGTAAACGTGGTATAAATAATTTTATTATAAAAGTTTTGTGAGAAATTGTAGAATACACATGCAAATTATTGTGAAAACTCCACAAAGACATTTCGAAAAAAAAAATAAAAAATTCTTTCAGGGTAGCAAATATTCTCTTAAGTTTTTAGGTCTAATGGTCCCTAAATTTTGACATGATTCCCATTTTGGTCTCTCAATTTCCAAAATTGTTCCCGTGATCCTTCAATTTCACTTTAGTTAGGACAAATGGTCTTGCTATCAATTTTGTTACATTTTCTGTTAAATGCAAGGGCAAAATGGTATTTTTATAGTAATTTCATGTTAATTTCCCAAAATTGAAAATTTGGAGAACGCTAAATGATTATATTATTAGTCACATCTCCTACAATAATCTCTATTTATAAAAGATGTTATTAACGTGGTATAAATAATTTTATTATAAAAGTTTTGTGAGAAATTGTAGAATACACATGCAAATTATTGTGAAAACTCCACAAAGACATTTCGAAAAAAAAAATAAAAAATTCTTTCAGGGTAGCAAATATTCTCTTAAATTCGAACCCCTAAGTGATGAATTAGAATAGATCATTTTTGTTTCCTACTCACACGACATATCCTTAAAACTGAAATAAATAAAAAGGTCATATCCTTGAAGAAAAAAAAAAAAAAAAAGGGCATTAGATTAGAATACAACAACATCCCTTATTCCACCCCATGCTTGAATTTGTCATTTTAAGCTTGGTCTTGACTTCAAAGCCCACTACATACATATTACATAATACACTTGAAGAAAAGAAGAAAAACCCAAAATATTACATCATCAACAACGTGTACCCACCACCAATATTTTTTGTGATTAGAAACAAACTAACATCCTAATAATTAAAGCTTTAATCAGTACTTAAGAAGAGTTAATCATGGTGATTGTAGAGTACTGTCCAATATATCCGCAGGAGCAATGAAATAGTCCATGGAAAGCCCTGGTACGTTAAACACAACGTCATCAATGCTCCAAGCTTCCTCCATTCTAGTCCTTGTGTACTCCATGGACACCTCACCGCACCGGAAGACGGTGGCGATCGAACGGCCCTGATGAGCAATGAGCACACCATCCACATCCCTATAGTCTGCAATGCTGCTTCCTATGGTGGTCTCCCAATAGACGGTTTCATTTTCTGGGGTTTCAACTCTAGTGAGGTGTGAGTCCTCTAAGTATATGAGGAGGCCACTCTTTTGGCAAAAATAGCCATACAATGCATGCCTTATCACCTCGGCTGGACCCTCGCTTCTCTCCATCACAGCCTCTCGATCGGCGGAAACTTTTAGTACAAAGCAATCATCCTCTCCGATTCTTTTCTCCCCCAAGCATTGTGCCTTGGCAAACAAGCTTGCTGTGCTCTTTGGGTCTAGGCCCTGCAATAAAACATAAGATATAGCCGATCAAGTTTATGAGTATACATGAAGGTTAAGCTTATGAATGGTGATATTGAATGGTTGATGCACATACTCACTTTCTTAAATTACTTGTTTTGAAGCAAATTAACAACGATGACACAATCACTCACGCACATGTGAACGACACGTATCCACACATTTTTGCAGGTGTGACACAATCAATACTATATTAGCTAATATAATTTTGGTGTAAAAAGAAACATCTCTAAAGAAAAAGAAAAAAAGAAAAGAATGAAGAAGAAGAAAGAAAGAGAGAGTAAGGAGCCATAATGCACTAGATCCGGCAGCATTCAATAAAGTGCAAAAGAAAAAGTTAAAGCAACCAAATAATACAGAAACACTTTAGTTCAGTATGTGGTAATCCCAAGACCAAGATGTTCATATAATATGACCCTAGATGACGTCAGAACGGCAATCACGTGCCGTTCTTAGGTCCCTTTGGTGCTGTTCAAAAAAAAGAAGTCTGTAGGGTAAAGCACGAGACAGTTTCTCTATCATT